GGCCCACCTGAACCCCAAGGCCCCATTTCACAGAAAGGGACTCACACCTGCCTATCTGAGGCACGGTGACCTCCTGAGGTCCAAGACTTTCCCTAATAACCACCGCTAACCACCACCACCCCCGCCCCTTCCCTGGGCTCTCAACGCCCGGAAGCCTGGTGGGCATAATTCACTAAGGCAGTGTTTCTCAACCTTGGCAACTTGAAGATGTCTGGACTTCAACTCCCAGAATTCCCCAGCCAGCATCAGCATCAGCATCAGCTGGCTGGGGAATTCTGGGAGTTGAAGTCCGGACATCTTCAAGTGGCCAAGGTTGAGAAACACTGGGATAAAGAAATATGGAAGGTGTGGGACAGTTTTTCCCACAGCCACTGCATCCTCCTTGGGGGGTCACGTGATAGAAATTGGGGCGTTTGGCATCTGGCAGGGCCTTATACTACCGTTTAGCATCCCAGGGTCAGGTGATTCCCCCCCCCCCTTCTGCGATCTTCCGACAGCCAGAAGCCAGGTTCGCTTAATAACGGTGTTACTCACTTAACAACTTCAGGAACTTTGTAAAATGGGGCGGAACTCCCCCGTCCCGTTTAGCAAACAAATATTCTGAGTTTCTCTTGTGGTCGGAAGTTGAGGAAGTGGCAGCTGCATTCCTACCCGAGGGGGGAGAGGCCGAGAAAAGACCCCCCCCCCCGTGTGAAAGTCCCAGCCTCCTGACTCCCGGGAGGAGGCCGAGGCCGAAGCAGAGATTTTTTTGGGGGGGAGGGAAGGAACCCCCCCAAATGGCACCAAACTCTCCTGCCGGTGCCCGGCTGCCCCCCCTCCAAGCCCCAAAGTTGGGAGCTGGCACAGTTTACCCTGCAATACCACTGAGGGGGGGGGGGCGTTAGATACAGTTTCACAAAGTTTATTTACAAACACCGCGGGGGAGGGGGCACGTGTGTGTGTGTGTGGGGAGGATGGGATGGCAGGGATCTGGACCCCCCCCCCCTATTGGGCTTGAACGGCATCTCCTAAGTTGGAAAGAAGCGATGTGGGGAGGGGGCGACAGCCTCTCCCCCCGTCTGGTGGGCTCCAGCCACATTCACGGCCAGCATTCTCGGGGGTTGCAGCCCCCCCCCGTCTTTGAGGTGGGAGGGGGGACAGAGGCCGGGGAAGGTTCTGACAAGACAACTAGGCAGGGGGTGGTGGAGCCACCTGGGGGGGTAGGGGGGGCTTCGGCCCCACATCCTTCCCTCCCACCAGCAGCGTGGGAGAATTCCGCCTGCAAATTCCCGCAGCCTCTTCAGACGCAGCTGCGGTGGGGCAGAAAACGTCAGTGGTCCAGGTGCCCCCCCCCCCCCCCCGTGGCCCAGTCGAGGCATCAGGAACCAAGTCCCAGCATCCCTTTGCGGAGACTCCAGAGCCCATCATCCTGCTGCGAGGAGCAAAGCAGCCCCGCCTGTCCTCTGCCCGAAGTCTTGGGGTGCTGGCCAAACTTCTGCTTCCCGCCGTCCTTCGGTTCGAGGGCCCCCCCCCGCACGCCAGCTACGGGGCCCCCCAAGCAGGGAGACGAAGCACCGTCTCCCCCATCCGTGACGACTCTCGGCCTCCGCCGTAAGGAGCTCTCCTTGGGGCAGCCACAGGAGTGTGGCCCCGGGACCCTCAGGATGGACCCCCATCCGCCGACTACTTCTTCCCCGCCGGGGGGCCCTCTTCAGGAGGGAGGGGCTCAGGCTCCCAGAGGAGGAACTCATGCAGGAGGGTGTTGACCGTCTCTGGACACTCCAGCATCACCATGTGGCTCCCTTCGTCGATCACCTTCAGGAAGGCCAGCAGCAGGATCTGGGGGGGGGGCGAAAAGAGGGGTGGGGGGGTCAGGTTGGCCCTTGGGCGGGAGGGGGGGTCAGTAGCCCTCCAGCTGTGTGTGGGGGGCGCCTCCCCCTCTGCTCTCTAGCTGCACTTGGCATCCGGCATTCTGCCTTGAACTGCCGAGGACAACATCTATGCTTGTGTGTTGTGTGTGTGTGTGTGTGTGTGTGTGTTTCACTTGCACCCTTGTGCAAACTCGAAGCAGTGCCGCCCTTGCCTTGCCTGCAACCCCTCCCCCAGAGGAGAGGCAGCTGGTGCCCCCACCCGAGGCTGGCATGGGCCCCTCTACAGGTCTGGGCCGATGCAGCTTTTCTGACCCACAACTGGAAGTGACCAAGGTGGCAACCTGCCCCCCTCCCTTCCCCCCTCCAGTGAGTCCTTGACTGGGGAGGGGGGAGATGGGGGAGGGCCGTTGTGCTTCCCACAGAGACTGTGCCGACTGGACAGACTCCGCCTCCACCAAAACGGCACCCAGAGGCCCCCCCCCCCAGGGCACCACTGGGCAATCCTGGGTGAAATCTGGCTTCTTTGCAAGCCCCTCCCTCTCTCCTAGGCCCCTCCCTGATTTTCGCCCAGCCAATCTAGCTGCATCTGGGCCCCCTGCCCCCCTCCCTTCCTGGGCATCTCAGCCAAGCAGCCCCCCTCCCCAGGGCACCAAAGGAGACCCTCCCCCTTGAGAAGCCTGGGGGAAATCCATCGAGGCTCCCCGGGGCCAAAGGGAGGGAGTGGGGGGGGAGTGGGAGGCTCTCCAATGCAGCCGTACCTCTGCCATGCGCTGGTCCTCCTCCACGGGCACGAACTTGTCGTGCATGCCATGCACCAGCAAGACGGGCACGGTCAGCTCGGCGTGGTAGACCTCGTCCCCCTCCGGCCAGTACTGGCCACTCATCATGGCCCTCAGGACGAAGGAGGAGACGTTGAAGGCGTTGCCCTCCTTCAGCAGCTGCTTCTCCTTGGCACCCTGGCGGGCAAAGCCGGCTCTGCCGGGGAGAAGGGCATGGGATCAGCATGGTGGGCCGGGGAGGGGGGGGGGGAGGCCAAGACCCTCCACTTTAGGGCTGGGCCAAGGGAGAAGCAGGACCCCCAGGAGGAGAGGGTTGGTTCAAGGCAGACGGAGCCCCCATACAGGAGGGCAGAGCCCGGGAGGGTCATGGGGGGGAGAGATGCCAGGGGAGTCATCGTGGTCCAAGGGGCTACCTTTCCCCCTATTTCCCCCCCCCCCCAGAAGCTCGCTTGCAGACTCTCCAGGCCAGGCAGGGCAAGTGGGGGCCGGGGAACGAGGGCTGCTGTCCTCACCACCACTGGAGCAGCCACAGAGGCCCGGTGGGCAGCCCAGTCGTGCCAGGGGAGGCTCCCCGTGTCCCCCTCCTTCCCCCCCCACCCCAAGAGGCTCACTTGAGGAAGCTCCAGGCCAGGCAGGGCAAGTGGGGGCCGGGGAACGAGGGCTGCTGTCCTCACCACCACTGGAGCAGCCACAGAGGCCCGGTGGGCAGCCCAGTCGTGCCAGGGGAGGGTCCCCGTGTCCCCCTCCTTCCCCCCCCACCCCAAGAGGCTCACTTGAGGAAGCTCCAGGCCAGGCAGGGCGAGAGGCAGCGCAGGACGCAGGGGGGCATGTTGAAGATGGAGCAGAGGCTGGGCTCCAGGGCGGTGGGGCCCCCTCCGTTCACCATAATCACTTTGTGCACAAGCTCCGGGTATTCGTGCGCCAGGAAGGTGCAGAAGGAGACCCTGAGACGGGGGGACACACGTGGGGAGGGGGGGGCAATGAGACGCCGTGAAGAGGGGTGGCTCTCCGTCCCTCGTAGGGAAGCAGAGACCCTCCGTGTTCAGAGGCAGTCTACGCAGGGAGTCCTCCACCTACAGCGGTCCGTATAGTGACCGTTTGA